GAGCCAGAACGTCAGTTAAACTGCGTGTAGCAGTGCTGGCTTAGACGCATAATGAGAGATAAATGACAGGACCATGTAAGGAATGACTATTGTCTTCCGTGCATATGTGATCTCAGGAGATGTGGAGAACAGGAAAAGGTAGGTGGCCCTGTTAGAAATTGATTGAGCGTACACCATTTACTCCTGCCTGCTTCTCGTATGGGACCTGAAACACGGCATACGTCGACCAGGAGGAAGCCTATAACGTGGAGGAACAAGGTAGAAGCAGATCTGTTTTTGAAGAGCAATATTTCTTTAAAGAATGCAGTAACCAGTGCCGTTAAGCAAACATGCGGAAAATATGCCAATACAGCGGATATCACCTCCCAAGGACGTTCTGCTGACGTAATCGGTTCAAGGTGATGATCTGAACAAACATGCATAAGCGCTATTCTTTACCTTGAAGAAGGCTCCTGAGACACGGACAAAAACGTCGGTACTGGTCAATCATCTGATTGGCCACACCATTTGCATTGTGCATTAATAGTAAGTTTACACACCGTACTTGCACTGCCTCTTGCTTCTTCAGCCCAAGGGATTGGATCAAGACCTCAAGGCGATTGAATCAGATTTGTCTGCATGGTAACGCTTGCATTGATGGATGCAATAATTCATCTATGCAAATTTGGGTTCATTGAGTATTCTGTTCTTGTCTGGGATGACTGTGCAGCAACAACAGCAGCTCAGGCATCGATCTATAGTGAAGATTAAATGGCAAGACCACGTAAGGAGTGACTCTGTTTTCATTAGTCACAGGTGTCCTCAGTGTATCTGTAGGTTAAGACGATTAACAAGATTAGCTTGCTATTCATTCTTGTTGAGTAGAAATCCTTTAATCCAGTTCTAGACTTTTTCATGAAAGAACTGAAACAGCAGATATCGATGAGGATGCGAGCGTGCAGCATGAATGAACAAGATAAAGAGATCTACGTTCTGCGAGGAATTGTTTATTTTACGATGCAGTAACTAGGACCTAAGAGCAAAAGTGTTGAAAAGCCACCAATACAGGAAGTGTCACAAATCCGAGACAGATGCAGAGGGCTGCAGACGATAAACAGTGAACGACTTGTATTGGTACGATCCGCTTGTACATGAGATTCAAGAGTGTTTATGGGGAGCTGCATGATTTCTGGCCGCTTTTGAATCGTTAAATTTTTTGGTCACTTTCCTTTGATAGAGGATCATCAACAAAGTGTTTTGAGTCTTCTCTGAAATGTGCTTCCTGGTGTACGTTACTTCTGTTTAACTGTCAGTCTGCTCAGCTGAACAGATCCTAAATGAAGAGTTCCAGAGAGTTGTTACGTTTAAATTTGCGAACCACGTTGCCGGTCTCACGTTGAATAGCAGCGGGATTCGTGCCTGTCATCGCATTTCGGAGCTTCAGATTCTGCCATCCCACATACATTGGGATAGAGCTTGTAATTGATGTATTTTCTTATATGGGAAGGTTCCTTGTAAATGACTTTTAGATGTAAATATTTACTTGTTTTTTGATTTTTTGATTCTGATACGTTTATGTTTAACTTTTGAAATTAGAGACCGCTGTCACAATGTACGTAGAGCTGGGAGCGAAGATGGGTCACAGTTGCCAGAGTCTACCTGAACAGCAGATGGTGCTCATTCGTTACAGCTGGGAGTTGGACGGCTCGTTTTTGCTGTACCATTTTTTGTCTATGTACTTTCGTGCAAATGGACGCGTACTTCTTGTGGCTGTTAGTAATTCGGCGGAACATTACGATGCTGTACTGGCGAAGTTCGGTTTCACAGTGAAAAGGCTTGTTGAAAGAAAAGTCTGTTATGTCATCGACGTTTTAAAGCTGCTAAGCAGTGGAAGTTGGTCTAACATTGCCTCTGACGGTCAGGGAAACTTGAGCGATGTAAAGGAGGAAAATGTTGCAGAGATGAACAGTCTTAAGCTTATGGACGTTCTGTGGAATTGTCTGTCTGCCGCGAGCAGTGTTATTCAGCAAGATCAACAGTCACCGGTGCTTGTTGTCGTTGATGACGTATCCCTTCTGAACGACTTCGGCGTACCTCTTCATCGAATAATTGGCTTCCTTCACGGTTGCCGCAAAGTTGCCGGTCCGCGTTCATGCTTTTGCGTGTCGACTTCGGCCGAGCAACGACATACACTGCTTTCTGCATACCTCTCTCACATGGCCACTTGGCTGTTAGACGTTCGGCCTCTGGGTACCGGCATGTCAAGTGACGTTCACGGTCAGGTAAACTTTTTTTAAATTTTTTCATGTTATTATGATCTGATTGCTCTAATGACGTCTGATAGTCGTTAGATTTATTACGAGCAAAATTATTTTTTGTCAGTAAAATAGATTTGTTAGAGTTGCTTAAATGCGACATATATTCCTTAAAATTTATTCTTTCCGACTCGTCATGGGTAGAGAAAAACGGCTAAAATAAATGAATGCTCGACGAAAAATGCAGTAGAGTTTGTTGCTATTATTATTATACAAACTCTAGTGTATGCGTAAAAATCTGTTAGTAAATCCTTAAAACAGTCTGCTAATGAAACTCTTATATGTTTATCAGTCTCGTGGTAGTAGAAATTACCGGTCACTGGTCGGAAAGAGGTTGTCATTGCTCTCTCAGCCGGAACACGATCACTGTTCTGTAGAAGTCAGTGGCGACTATTAGTTTTTGAGCGGCTTGGCGTTTGAACTTGCTCTGCGGTTTCCCCATCTGAACAATGACAGAATATAATTGGATTACTAACCAGAGAGAAAACAATGGAATTACAACTGCTTCTTATGGCGATTCAGAGCTTAAGAGTATTAACTGACTCAAGGATCTTGACAGTTAAATATAATCTTGCCACTTACAGGCTGATGCACCATGGAAAACCAAACTTTGAAAAGTGTGGCGCAAATCTGAATCATAAACTTACCCCAGATGGCGAATGTTCACCCTGCTTGCTGTGTATTAAATAATCATTTAGTATGGGGGCTCTTCTCAGCGCTTCGTGCAGGATTAGTTGCATAAAGATAAATTATGCCAAGTTTTATCAGATGTGGAGATTAATCTTTGGCCTTCAGAAAGTTTCAGCCTTTGGTTCTCTTGGGCTTCATATTTTGTTTTCATATTTAATTGTTCATGTTCTTGCCCATATAATTAATAAGTTTTTTATTTTAGCTGATTTTGAAAAACAGGACCAAAATTGTTCCTTGTGAAAATGGTTCCAGGAGGCTACTGTTTCGACTGGGCGATAGAAACGTCAGGTTTTTTCCTGACGGCCTGGTACCGCGATTCAGCATATAAGCGTATTCAAATCGCAGTAACTTTTCCGTTTATGTGCTGTTCGTATTCAGCATTCGCGACAAGGCCTGTCATTGCTGTCAGATAATTTCTTTATAATAAATGTTTTTAAAAAGAAATTTCGGTTTTCTATAAGAAATTTGAGTTTGAGAATTGTGGTAGTTTGTTTATCCGTTGTAAAGAGAATTCTTTATGCAGGTGAAAAGTTCTTCATAGACAAAATCTTGAAAGGACTGATTCCGCATATTAATTTAGTATGACATTACGTAACAGCAAGTGAAATAATAGTTTCAGCAGTATAGACTTAGTTTATTCATTGGCTATAAACACAAGATAACACCGATATTTTGCGGTATCGATGGTGATAGCATTTCATACATTATCTGCCATATTTTATG